AGGCGACTCAGCGTTCGTCACAGGGTTACACCTTCAGTCTTGGCGCTGGTTGTGTCTCGTGGAGGTCCACTCGTTCTTCTTTTGTGCTTGGTTCCAGCTGTGAGGCCGAGATCTACGCTGGGGCCATGGCTGCACAGGAGCTACGCTGGCTGACCTACCTGCTGACCGACTTGGGGGAGCGGCCTCGTTCTCCTCCAGTTCTGTACGTCGACAACAAGGCAATGCTTGCCTTGTGTCGCGAGCAGAGACTCGAGCACAGAACGAAGCACATTGCTCTTCGCTACTTCCTTGCGCGTGAGCTGCAGCAGCGTGGTCAGCTGCGCCTTGCTTACGTGGCCTCTCGGGCCAATGCTGCTGGTGTCTTCACCAAGGCCCTTGGGTCTGGTGATCATCAGCGTTCCTGCACAGCTCTTGGGCTTGTGCCCACTCTGCCTCACCTGCTGGTTGCTTGACTTGCTTTTGTTGTACACATATATATATCTTTATACCTGCTTGTTTACTCTTGTTAGGTTGTGATCAGTGCACTGCCTTGCTATTATAACTCTGCATGTGAACTGGCCTTGTGGCCGCTTGCTTGTGCTCAGATTGTGTGGTGTCCTTGAGATCCACCCTGAGCTTTGCTTTGCTTTGCTTGTTCTCTTGCTTGACTGGTCTTGTGACCGTCTGTTGTGGTTGCTATCTCCCACTTAGCCTATGGGGGTGTGTCAAACTGTATGTTTGTGTTCTCTCTAGGCTATAGTGGGTTAGCCTACAAGGGGTACAACACTTTAGGGTTAGGTACTTGTACTCATGCATGCTACCTAGTCCACCATTCCTGCCTGCTGATTCTAACAAAAAACATCCTAAGAGCTCAGGGTTAAAATTGACATCATTCTGAAATGACAGGGTAAATTCAAAACTGCATCCTGATTCAGGGTATTCAGGATGTTTTGCCCTGATAACGTGGGGCCTGGAACTAAGAACATACAAATATGTTTTGACAAGTTTAGGTTGGCCAAAGAGGGGTTCAATATTAGGCAAGGGTACAAGATATAGGAAAGGCAAGAGGAGGGCAAGACAAAGGGTACACCACCAGCAGTAGGTTCTAATATCTAACTAATACACTAACAACAAGCTGTAGGCAGTTAGGATATGCAATATAATTCAACAAAGAGTATCGAGGCGAGTGTCACGAGGTGGTAATGGGCTACTTTTGGGTTGGGGTGTACAGTGGCGGGAATAGTCGTATACGCGGTATTCAATGTGAAGCGAAGGAAAAGTTGTTTCCTTACACTTGTGCACAATTTACATGCCACTCTTACCGTACAATATTCTGGCAATCCAGGCAAAATCATGGTTATGTTTCACCATCATATGCAATAGGTGCACATTTGGTCATTGTGGTAGTAGTATGATGTCTACATTGTTATCTCGGCCTTGCAGCAGCATCTCCGCAGCAAACGATATAATTTTCCTCTTCTTCGCAGCACGCAGAGTTCCTCCAAGCGCCTCAAATATGTCTCCTGTTTCGTCAAAAAGCTTGCCAAACTTCACCTGAGGTAAACAAACGGAAAGGGACATTGACGATGGAAGAGAAAACACTGATGAATGAAGGTGATGATGGTTGGGGGAAACCCAGAGGTAGCTAGTTGTCGGGAGGGTGATAAACAACAGTCACAAGTAACACAAATTGGATGATGACGTGATGCATTATGCATAGCCATGCAAATGGCGATCCAATTTGGGTTTATGCAACAATTAACAACTGCGCACACACATAAACACATGCACGAACGCACACACGCACGCGCACATGCGTTAACACCCACAATCCCCTCTATGACGCGTATGAATTGACAATTACATGCATGGACAGATCGCGCACTGACATGCCAGCATGGGAAATGCTTAAAGCTCAAGGCCCAAATTGTTCAGGATTACTAAAGTTGACCCTTGGGTGGTGGGAAAGCAGAGTAGGAAAGTCGAGGTGTTTGAGGGGTGTAGGGGTTTGGTTTCGCCCAGCTTCTCGCCACACTCAAAACAAAATTCGCTGACTCAGCAAAGCCTAGGGGACGCTCAGGTTTGGTTGCGCGAGTCCCATATTGCACAAATATTACTCTTGCCAGTTTCCCGCACCACCTGTTCCATTCGCTGACTCAAATGTTCTGGCCAATCAGATGGCTTCGTACATTTCGTAACCACAATTCGCCCAGCTAAAGCTGCAAAGCAGCACTCGATCAACCTTACTAAACTTGCCTCGCGCGGCCCGCAATTTGGGCCTTGAGCTTTAAAGCTCCGGTATACATTTGAAAGGAGGGGTTCAAAATCTTATGAAATTTGAAAAGTTGCCCCAAACCTGTGGGGCGCACTCCCTAAACCCCAAACCCTGCCGACAAATGTATACTTCAGCTTTAACTGCACACATGCATGCAGGATGGCACCAAATACACTCGTTATGTGTGCAACGATAATTTCGGAGGGTAGAACGCACCTTGACCGATCCATCTGCCTGCTTCTCCCCCAGCTTTGTAATTTCCTCCTTGAGCTTCTCAATCTCCTCATCCACATTCATGACTGCCGCCCAACTTTGTCTGCCTGCCTGGCTGCTTTCAGCGAAGGTTTCTGTTTCTGCTTAGCAGCAGCTGGAAGAAAAAGGAAAGCCAGAATTTGAGTTGACTGAAAATGTACCAGGTACAACGGGGAAGTGGATAAACAAGATAGGGGCATCCAATCGCACGACCATTGATAGGACGCAGACAGTAAGGTTTAGCAGAAGACTCATTTCCGAGAATTGGAAGCAGACGTTCCTTTTTACATGAAACAGCATTGGCAAAATGTAACGCTTCGGTGACTCCTATGGCAGTCCAGCAAGGGAAGGGAGTTTGCAAAAAATGGACGGCGTGCGCACCTTTACGCTGTTCGCTTCAATGAGTTGACCGTTGTACCCAGACCCGAGAAACCGCGAAAACAGTGGGAAGGTGAACCTAGCAGTGCTGCACTTGGTAAATCGAGTGAATGGCGGTTGCTCGGAAAGATTGTTAGCGGCGACAGGTTTGTGGCAGTCCAACATGTACGCTCTGAACCGCTCTATATATCTTATTGACCACTCTAGGTAGAGCTCAGATGCAAGTTCAGAAACCATGCTTGATGATGTTCTTCCTCTGGAATGCCGAGAGGGGGAAGAAATTCTGGGAAGAGGTGCGATGAGGGATGAGAAGAGGTGGGGATGGGCTGACGAGTAGAGGTGAGCGGATAAGGCTGGCTGAACGAGCTGTGGACGAATGACGAACATGTTACACTCAATAGCGAAACAAGATGCAAGTAGAAGCATGTTGTTACAGATTACACATTTGGCAGCCCTCGCAAAATAACAAAGCAATTGTTGTACAGGGACGGCCATTATCGCGAACAGGTTTTCACAGCCTTGACAATGCTTCAGCCATGACTGTATCCGTTATTCTTCACTCTTTCTGGCTTTATTCCGTTTTCGAAGCAGGTGGTCTTTGCAACGCCACTTTGTTGCAACGTGTGCGTGTGTCTCTAAGGTTCACACGGCAATAGAATCCGAGTAGACTGAATACAGTCATGGTGGTGCGGAAGCTAATCAAGCAAAAGCCGCGGAGGGGTAAATTTTCAGGCAAGAATTTCAAAAAGCGCGAAGTCCTTATCAATGCAGAGGAGCAGGCGCGAATCGAGGCGAAAACTCTAGGACTGAAGTACACCCCGCCAGTCGGAGGGAAAAAGAAGAAGAAAAAGCCCAAGTGTTCCCGATGGTTGTTTCCAGGAGCGCACTACCCCGGGAAACCCGCGCCTCCTCGAAAAAACGCGCGCGGAAGTGACACGGAAAGTCTAGATGATGACGTGGATAGACGTATCGCTGACGTGGATGCGTCGGAGATGGATAAGGGGGTATCCGAACGAAAAGGCGCCGGACGACTGCGGTATTTCGAGCAAATGGTTGGACCGGAGAGGATGCAGGGAGGCGAGCTTGATAGCGTGACGTTTTCGCGGGCTAAGGAGCGGGAGAAGGAGGAGACACTCGGGAAGAAGCGGAGGGAGAAGGAGAAGAATCGCGAGAGGGAGCGCCGGGAAAAGGAGGAGCGACGTGCGGAAAAACGCGCTAAACGGGAGAGCCGAAACGGTGTAGACGCACGCGGGATTGCGGTCCTGTCAGGTTCCGCACGCGGGCTGGGGTTAAAGAGTTCGGGGGGGTTAAATTCGCCTGCTGGGGTGAAAGCATCGGGTGTGGCGGAAGCGTTACATGCAGCAGAAGACAGCTCGAGCGAGGACGAAGAGGAGGCGAAGAGGCGAGCCGCGATCAGCTCTGTCGTGGTTGAAGGGTCGCATATCATGGGCGCTGCTGCTGCTCCTAACACGTACATGTGAGATTCCTGAATATATTAGGGTTTGGGATAGGCGAAGAGACAGGCAGCGATCAGCTCCGTCGTGGTTGAAGGGTCGCATATCATGGGCGCTGCTGCTGCTCCTACTACTTTCAGGTGAGACCCTGAATATATTAAGTTTTGGGGTTAGGGTTCAGAGTAGAGGCACACAGCCTTGAGGTTTTCTGTGTTGAAGGGTTGCACATCATTAGGTTTCTGCAACCGCTCTGAACTCCCTGCGAGCGTGGGTTTGCAGGGAATAAGATTTCAAGCAGGCCCATCGTTTGAGCCGCAGTTGATTGGATAAACATGAAATCTCGAAGGTCCCTGTGGGGATGAGTGTTTTCAGTTGTGTCTGTGTGGCCATGCTTGTGTCTGTGTGGCCATGCTTGTGTCTGTGTGGCCATGCTTGTGTCTGTGTGACCATGCTTGTGTCTGTGTGGCCATGCTTGTGTCTGTGTGGCCATGCTTGTGTCTGTGTGACCATGCTTGTGTCTGTGTGGCCATGCTTGTGTCTGTGTGGCCATGCTTGTGTCTGTGTGACCATGCTTGCTGTGTGGCATGCTTGTGTCTGTGTGACCATGCTTGTGTCTGTGTGACCATGCTTGTGTCTGTGTGACCATGCTTGCTGTGTGGCAGGCACAAGCGCAAGGCGAAGAGGGGGCTTCAATCAACCCTAGCGAGCAAGGAGAGGAGGCGCCTGAGGAAGATGGGTATACAGCCAGACGGGGAGGAGGAGGGGAGTGAGAGCGAGGGTGAAGGGGAGGAGGAGGGAGGGGAGGATGGGGAGGGGAGAGGTGGAGGAGATAAGGCGAAAGACCTGAAGCTGAAACACTATCAGATTCGGGTGAGTAATGTGTATTGGTGAGTCGGCTGCATATTGGATAGGAGAAACCCTGTTGATTCCCTCCCTCCCTCTCCTGTCATCTTTCTCAATCTGATCCCTTAGCTTACTGGTTACCATGTGGATTTGGATTGTGCCCTCCATTTCTCTCCCATGCCCGATTCTATTGCGGCATGTTTTCATCCCTTGCTCCGATCTGTCGCAAGCCATTCTGTTTGCTTATTGTTAATTACGTGTGCTCCGATCGTGCTCCCTTTGTCCATGTATCCTTAGCTTTAACCTGATTCGATTCTACCTCCAGGCCAGGATATGTCGCAGCACCATCTGTACAGGCTGCTGAAGGTGACACCTTTTTTCTCTTGCTCCTGCCTATCCCGATCCCTTCCTTTTTTATTTGATTTTATGATTCATCCAGGCCCAGGATATGCTGCATCAACATTTGGACAAGCTACTGGAGATAACTGTAGCTGCTGCAGAGAAAGGAGTAGGGGAAGGAGAGGGAGCAGAGGATGCTGTCAATGGTAACAGTGATGGTGTTTGTGGTAGTGGCAGGGGTGGTGGTGAAATAAAGGGTCCGAGGAAGCTTAAGAAAAAAATGGGGAAGAAAGAGGGGAAAAGGGAGGAAGGAACCGGAGAAAAGACCGAGGGAGTTGGACTGAAAGGTCAGGAGGGAACGGAGGGGAAGAGACGAAAGAAGGGAGAGAGGGGAAAGGAGGCAAAGCAAGCCAAGATTCAAGCGCCAGAGTCGGGTGGAATTGCGCTTTTTCGAAAAGGCCCCGTTGTTTCACTTCAGTGAAATGACTCACCTTTTTGTGAAAACTACATGTGATGATGTAATTCTTGATGAAGTCCCCTTTTTCTCTCTATACAGAGTTTCCGGCTTTCAGATTTTGAAATCTCGTTTTGAGTTGCGAAGGCGACGCGGTGCCCTGATGCGAGGGCCTGTACAAAATCGAGATTCCTCAAACAACAATGCGTTCCGAGGGCGTGACAACGAATGCTCATGTGGGACGTTTCTTCTGCTGGTGTCTCCAGGAGGTCGCCTTCGGGATTGCAACTTGCTGTTTCGCATGCGCCCTCAGCTCCTGCTATCGGTGTTTGTGCACTAGCTTCAGCATCAGCTTCTTTTCTCTGCTCTGCGTGACTGCATCTCTGCTGTTACATTTTAGCCAACCAACAGATGGTTTTCTCCATTCTCCGACATAACCTTGGTTGTCTCCTAGGCAGGCACCTTCTTGCTAATCTTTCGGCCTCTTGTTTGGTTTCCCACTCCGTTCCTCTTGTACGAGGCGAAGTGTCCACGTGGGGTGTACAACACATTAGGTGTCATTTCAGAACTTGCAGTGTCTTCATGGCGTCAGAAGAGCCGAAATCAAAGGAGACCGTTGCGTTAGATCGGCAAAACGCGAAAGATGCTTCGGCTTCAGAAGAACCGAAAACAGATGGCAATCAAGCTCCAGAAGAATCGCCGTTGAAGAGGATGAAGGTAGACCCAGAAATGTCTCTCCGTGTGAAGAAGCTGTCAGAGACGGCAGTTCTTCCCAAACGAGGGTCTGCGAGTGCTGCCGGTTACGATCTTTCAAGGTACGCAAATCAGATTCTAGCCGCGATTGCAGGGAGCCGAGTAACCGGCTTGAGTACTGTTTACCTCAATAATACGGTCAATTCCAATCTCCCGACTCGTGATTGTTCTTCTAATCGCATCCTTGACATATTTCAGTGCACATGACATCACCGTGCCTGCAAGAGGGCAAGCACTCGTCAAGACTGACCTCGCAGTCGCCATTCCGTTGGGGACTTACGCTCGAGTGGGTGAGTCTCAATCTCGCAATTATCCTTCACCAGCCTGTATCTAAAACATCCGGCGCCTCGTCTCGACATTTTAACGCTGTTTTTTTTAGAGCAGAAACTTTTGAGGCATTTGCCCTGATACATTCTCTTTAATCCTTCATTCTCTGATCCATCCATTACTGTGCCATCTCAGCGCCTCGCTCTGGCCTTGCCCTGAAACATTCCATCAACGTGGGAGGCGGCGTGGTTGACTATGATTACCGTGGAAATGTGGGAGTGATTCTCTTCAATCATTCTGACAAGGACTTCCCTGTGAAGGTCGGCGACAGAGTTGCACAGCTGATCCTGGAACGAATAGTCACTCCTGATGTTGTGGAGGTGGAAGAGTTGGATGAGACCACACGGGGGGCTGGAGGGTTTGGCTCCACAGGGGGCAGCGACGCTTTGAAGCATACATAGAAGATTAGGCCGACTTGGGCAAGGATGAGGGGATGAGGGGACATTGCTAACCTGTCTAATGTACTTTGGGCTTGGGCAAGAGCTAGTGTGCTGCTGTACTTGCCAGTCTAATCGTTTTTGTGTTGATTCTACCTGAACATGTTACGGTAATTGGCTGGGGAGGAGAACATCTCTCTGCACAGCTTATTGGTGTTGCATGGGCAGCTCATTCAGGACAGATGCTGTTATGCACTGGCACAATTTGTACAAATGTTGCATGGTTATGATCAGACGAGCCTAAACCAACCACTTCTTCGAAATATTAGACGAGCAGGAACTACGGTACCGGGTACAATGTCTGTCCACTTGCACAGGCTGGTATTTGTCTGAAGAGTTATCATATCATGATGTGCACTCGAGCTTACTCCTCCCCTGTTCTTGTTCCAAGAACGGAGATGTCCTCGTACCGCTTCTGCACAGGAACAGAAAGGGAAGGAAAGTAAGGAGGCAGCATGTGAGGAGGAAAAGAGTGAACATGGGAGCATAGCGAAGACAGTGAGGCAAGTAATAAACACCCAGATCAAAATATATATGTGACAGAATAAGGACCAATGTATCTCTTCTCTTGGATCAGAACTTACCCCCTTGTTGTACGAATCCCAGAGCTGGTCGAACGTGTAGTTGACCGCCTGATGAGGGAGCAGCATGGAAAGGGAAGACAAAGAGCGAGGAGGAAAATGAAGTTGAAGTAAGTAACACATGTGTTCCCTTAGCCGTCATCAGAACAGAGCTCGCTGACCTTTAACAGCTCTATATCGCCAGCATTTTTTTAGGCGCCTCAAAAGTAGTCAGCTCTATATCGCCAGCACGACAGTGCGATTGCGGCGGGCCTGTGTTTCACCTTGGCCAGCTATGCAAGGCTCCTAGACCGCAGTACCTACTGCAAGCACGAGGAAGCATCTGACTGCACCGAACGACGCCACGCGTAACGCTACATGAAAGCTATCTGATCAGAGCCGTAACAAGGCTATCTGATACACGCGTAGCGTGGAACCGGACCTCGATCTTAGAACCGGCTAACGGAAGGAGAGTGAAAACAAGCTGTCGAAACGGGGTACCCGGAAGTGACTCAGAGGTGCTCCCAGGCATCGGCGAACATTTTGAATCCATTTCCAAGCTGAACACGTACCTGGTCCAAATGCATCGCCGCCAGCTAAACACTCTCCGCTTCATCAACGCTGGGAACCTCGCACGACGCACAGCTGAAGCCAAGAAGGTAGTCAAACCTAACCGTACTCAGATCTATCGTTCGATTGATCGAGAGACCCAGGCAATGTCGAGAGAAACGAACTGCGGGGCGCGTGCGCGACTTACCCGCTCTCCGGCAAGCGCGCCGACGAAGATGAAGCCGATGTACACCGAGTTACGCTTCATGACCGTGCGGTAAAGCACGTCCGCGAGCCCCATGGTCGCTGGCAAAGGAGGTTCAACGGATTAAGAGTCGAACGCGTGGGAGCGGTACGGCGGAGATGAAGGCCCCTGGCCGATGGACAGCTGAGCTGGATGCGTGGTTTGCGGCGTGGCGAGTTGGGACTGCGGAAATAAGGAGGTAGGTTCGAATACTAGGACGCACGGATTGGGGGGAGGGGGAGAGCGGCGGAAGCTGTGCTAGGGGGGAGTGCGGAAAGTGGCGGAAATATGCGGGCACGGAGCGGAAAGGGGGAGTGAGGAAGAAGGGAGGGGGGAAGCGAATGGGGAGAATGGGGACACCGAAGGCGCGGAAGTTTGCGGCCAATAGCACCGTCGGAAATACACGAACTTGAACATGAGGAAATGTAAGATTGATCGTTGCTTACTATAAGGAATTTTCTCGACATTCCTTACCGCGACCATCAACATCGCGTACAGCAGCAGCCGTTGTTCGCCCGTTACTGCTAACGGGGCTTCGCCAACTTCGCGCGCACTGTCTCACCAAACCTTGCATCGCTGGCCAGCCGAGTCGGCCTACGCTTCGGGACTAGCCCGAACCTCCATGACAGCGTAGCACTAGCTAGCTCGCACGCACCGCGTAACCGTTGCATGTTTTCGCACATAAGTATTCGCCCATGCCTTCGCTCATACTTGTCAGAATGTTATATGTATACCAATGTTTGCTAGTGAAACCCCTCTTCTCTGTTCTATCTTTCTAGCGGGGATTCTGACATGCTATCAGAGCGAGATCGCTCCTGGCCTGTGGGCCCACTTGCTTCCGCTGCTGTACTATCTGCCGCGCGCCCCGTGGCGCGCGACGTTTTTTTTCTTCCTGCCACGCGCTCCAAGCGCGTGGCGGTTTTCTGCCTGCCACGCGCTCGGGGCGCATGGCGGTTTCCTGCCCGCCGCGCGCCCCCCTGCCCGTCGCCCGTCGCGGCGACCTGGGGGACCGCGCGTCGCCCCCTCCCGTCGCTCGTCGCGGCGCCCCGGGGGCCCACGCGCTGTCCCCTCCCGTCGCCCGTCGCGGCGCCCCGGGGGCCCGCGCGCCGCCCTGCCCGTCGCCTGTCGCGGCGCCCTGGAGGCCCGCGCGTCGCCCCCTCCCGTCGCCCGTCGCGGCGCCCCGGGGGCCTGCGCGCCGCCCTGCCCGTCGCCCGTCGCGGCGCCCTGGGGGCCCGCGCGTCGCCCCCCCTCCCGTCGCTCGTCGAGGCGCCCTGGGGGCCCGCGCGCCGCCCGCTTCCTCTCACACGCCGCCCCAGCTGCTGCTCGCGTTTTCTGCCCCGCGCCGCACGTACACCGCCTGCGTTGGGGGTATGGGGGTGGCGGGTGTGTGAGCCGTCCCCTGCTCCTCCTCCTCCTCCGTCTCCCACTGCTGCAGCTGCCGCTGAGGGGGGTGGATGTGTGGGAGCCGAGGGAGTCGCGCTAGGGGGGTGACGTGGGAGTGGAGCTAGGGGTGCATCAAGGGGTGTGTGAAAGGGGGGTGGGACAGTTGGGGGAGGTTGAGCGGAGGCAGGCATCAAGTCGTCAGCAGCGCCAGTAGTCCGGGGCTCTGCTTCGGTAGCCCAGCGAGCCTGCTGCGCCAGTCGCCCGTGGGTCCGTTGCTCCTGCCGCTCAGATTTAGCCGCAGAGCCAGTTACTCCTGTAGTCCGGGGCCCTTGCTCCGGTAGCCACCGTGCGCGCCGCTCCTGTTGCCCGTGTGTCTGCAGCTTCACCCGTCGCCTTGTCAGAATAGTGAAGGAAGGAATGACTGAACTAGCAAGCAGGTGGGTACAAGTAGGAAACCTAAAAGTGTTGTACCCTATTGTCAAATGTTGTTATTGGTTGTAGGCTGCAGTGAGTAGCACTCTAAGGAGTACAACACTCTTAGGGTTTCTATTTGTATGCCTTGCTCTCCTAAGTCAAACATTCCGTTGCATTCACTTTCTGAGATGGTATCACGAGTAGGTTTAGAATCCTTGCCTAGCCTAGCCTACCTCGCGCCCTCCACGCCCTAGAGCGTCTCCGCGCCTTACGCGCCCTCCGTCACGTGCCCTAGCACCCTCCGCGCCCTTGCGCCCTCCGCGCTCTAGAGCGCCTCCGCGCCTTACGCGCCCTCCTCCACGCGCCCTAGCGCCCTCCGCGCCCTAGCCTTGAGTAACGCGGCCTCCGCGCCCTCCGCGCCCTAGCCTCGAGTAACGCGGCCTCCGCGCCCTCCGCGCCATACGCGCCCTCCGTAACGCGCCCTCCGCGCCCTCCGTAACGCGCCATCCGCGCCTCCGCGCCTAGCCCTCCCCTACGCGCCCTCCACGCCCTCCGTATCGCGCCTCCGCCCCAGCCCGTCGCGTAACCCGTGGCCCCTGCCCCAGCCCGTCGCGTCGCCCGTGCGCCCTGCCCTAACCCGTCGCGTAGCCCGTGCGCCCTGCACTAGCCCGTCGCGTAGCCCGTGCGCCCTGCCCCAGCCCGTCACGTCGCCCATGCGCCCTGCCCCAGCCCGTAACGTCGCCCGTGCGCACTGCCCCTAGCCCGTGCGCGCCCGAGCGCCCTGCCCCTAGCCCGCCGCGTCGCCCCGCCCCGCAGGTAGCGCGCCCCCCGCAGAAATCGTGCCCCGCAGGGAGCGCGCCCCGCGGGTAGCGCGGCCCGCAGGCAGCGCGCCGCGCGGGTAGCGCGCCCCGCGGGTAGCGCGCTCCGCAGGCAGCGCGCCCTGCGGGTAGCGCGCCCTGCAGGCAGCACACCCTGCAGGCAGCGCGCCCCGCAGCGCTTTAGCGCCAGAAATAAAAATTAATTAATTAAACCCTAAAAAAAAAAAGGGGTTCAGGGTGGGGGGCTGCAACTGTCGCCCGCGTTCCTGCTTGCCGGATGACCTGCACAGTTCCCTACCTCCCACAGCCGTCAGTACTGCAGCCCCTTTGTCGCACGTACTTTCCACTTCCACTGGCTCCACTAGCGGCAGCCGACAGCCGCACTTACAGTCTCTAGCTCCAGCCGTTCTCACTCCAGCCGTTCTAGCTCCAGCCACTTCTAGCTCCAGCCGTGTCTCGCTCCAGCCGTTCTCGCTCCAGCCGTTCTAGCTCCAGCCGTTTCAGCTCTAGCCGTTCCAGCACCGGTCGTTCCTAGCCTAGTTTCACCTCGCGCTCCTAGTTGTTCTTGTGGCCGTCCCTAGCTCCTGCCGCTCCTAGCCTTTATCATGGCGTCCACTATGGTTCTCCAGCAGCAGGGACAGCAGCAGCGGCAGTTTCAGCAGTGGCACCCGCAGCAGCAGTGGCGCCCTCAGCAGCAGCTCTGCCCTCAGCAGTTGTGGCGCCCTCAGCAGCCGTGGCGGCCTGGCGGTTCGGGTAGCGTTGGCTGCAGCAGCGGCCCAGCCGGCTTGGGGGCTCGTCGCGGTGGCCGGGAAGTCGGCCCCTGCCAGTACCGGATCCTGACCGGCCCTGGTGCTGGCACTACCTGCTGGCGGCCTGACCACTCTGCACCGCGCTGCTACAGTCGCCTCGACGACCTATACCGTGAGCGTTTTGGGCCTGAGTCGACTCCCCCGATCTGGCCCGGTTTGTTTCGTAGTGGTTACCCTGTGTTTGATATGTCTATGGATGCTGTTTATTCTGTCACGTACGGATCTCTTGGCTTGCGTGTACCTAGCTTAGGAGCTTTGCCTGTTGCTAGTGTAGGTACTTGCGCTTTTAGTGTAGGTGCTTGTGTAGTCACTAGCCCAGCCGTGACGACTGCTGTTGCGTCGCTCTCCTTCACGCTGGACTCCGGCGCGTCCCAGTGCTTCTTTCGCGACCACACCACTGTCACACCTCTTTCGGCTCCAGTCCCAGTTGCCCTGGCTGATCCTACTTCAGGATCAGCAGTTGCTCGCAGCTCGACCACTCTCCCGTGCCCAGCTGTCCCCTCTGGTTTCCTCACTGGTCTCTACATCCCCTCGTTCTCTCGGAACTTGGTGGGTGTTGGATACCTTCAGGACCGGGGGATCACAGTCACTTTTCCTGCGCACGGGAGGACTGCGATCTGTACGGACTCTTCCACCGGGGCAGTTCTTGCCACGTTCACCAGAGAGCCCCACTCAGGTCTCTTCGTCCTGCACACTCCGCCCCCGCAGGTAGCTGCGTCTGGTCAGGTTGCTTCGTCCCCCCCGGTAGCAGAGTCCGGTCAGGTTACTGCGTCCCCACCGTTTGCTGTGTCCGGTCAGGTTGCTGTGTCCGGTCTAGTTGCTGCGTCTTGCTCGTGCCGGTCTTTCACCCACCGGACCGTCTTGTGGCACCACCGTCTTGGCCACGCGTCGATCCCCCGCCTCTGCACTATGGCTAGTCACCGTTTTGTACTTGGTCTCCCTCGCGTCTTCCCGTCGCTCCCTCCCTCGCCTGCACCGCCGTGCACTCCTTGCGTCGCCGGCCGTCTTCGTGCCACTCCGCACTCCTCCTCCCTTCGTCCGGCCACTGCTCCCTTCCAGACACTCCACTTGGATGTCTGGGGCCCTGCACCTACGCAGGGACCTGAGAGGGAGCGCTACTTTTTGGTGGTCGTCGACGACTTCTCCAGGTACACCACGGTGTTTCCTCTAGTGAAGAAGTCCGAGGTGACTTCTACGCTGATCCGGTGGCTTCTAGCCACTGAGGGCACTCGTGGCCGTCGTGTCTCCTGTCTCCACTCTGACCGTGGGGGTGAGTTTCGCTCAGGCATTCTTGCCGGATTCTGCGGCGAGCAGGGCATTGTACAGTCCTGGACGCTGCCGGAGTCCCCACAGCAGAATGGGGTTGCTGAGCGCCGCATTGGCTTGGTCATGGACATCGCCCGCACGTCCATGATTCATGCCTGTGCGCCCCATTTTCTGTGGCCCTACGCGGTTCGCTACGCCGCTCACCAGCTGAACCTCCAGCCGCGCGTCTCGCGGCCAGAGGCTTCACCGACCAGTCTTTGGACCGGGTCCCCTGGTGTTGGGTCAGCTTTTCGTGTCTGGGGCTGCCTTGCGCTTGTCCGCGACACCTCTGCGGACAAGCTCTCGGCTCGCGCCGTCCCCTGTGTCTTCCTTGGTTTCCCGGTAGCCTCGGCCGACTGGTCCTTTTACCACCCGCCCCTCCACCAGTTCCTAGACCCCCGTGACGTCCGGTTCGACGAGTCAGTGTCCTACTACACCAGGTACCCCTGTCGAGGTCTGCCGGTTCCCCTTCCTCCCCTTTTCCTCGCACCCTCTCTTCCCCCTGCTCCCGCTCCTCCGGTACCCCCACCCCCCCCTGGTCCTGCCCCGTCAGGTGTGTCTCACGCTACCCCTCTACCCTCGGTCGCGCGTCAGGTAGCGGCTCCCTCCCCGCAGTCCTCCTCACAGTCCCCTCAGCAGCCTTCGGTACTTCCTCGACAGGCTACTGTGGACTCGGTTGGTTTTGGAGCTGGAGGTGCAGCCACTGGCGGTACTCGGTCCGGGGGTGCTCGTTTGAGGGGTGCTGGAGTTGGAGGTGCTGGCGCAGGTGGCGCTAGCCCTGGGGGTGCTGGAGCTGGAGGTCCTGGCACTGGAGGTGCTAGTCCTGGGGGTGCTGGAGCTGGAGGTGCTGGCGCAGGTGGCGCTAGCTCTGGGGGTGCTTGTCAGAATGAATGAAACAGGAATAATTGACTAGCAGCAGAGTGTGAGTACAAGTATGTCAAACCTAGTTCTGTACCCCCTAGAGGCTAACCCACAATAGCCTACACAAATGTAACACATACAATGTTTGACACACCCCCATAGGCTAAGTGGGGGAGAACAAGGGGTCACAGGACCAGTCAAAGCAAAGCAAAACAAGCTCAGGGTGGATCTCAAGGATACCACACAAATTCCGAGCACAAGCAAGTGGTCACAAGACCAGTTCACATGCAGTTTGATAATATAACAAGAGGTACAGTGATCACAACCTAGCAAGTGTAAGCATGCAGGTATATATATAGAGATCACAGTACAAGCAGAATCAAGAAGTGAGCAAGTGAGGGAGAGTAGGCACAAGGCCTAGAACAGTACAGAAACGCTGATGGTCACAAGGCTGAAGCGCCTTGGTGAACACATCAGCAGTGTTGGCCCGAGTGGCCACGTAACGCAGACGAAGCTGACCACGCTGCTGCAGCTCTCGAGCAAGGAAATAGCGTAGAGCGATGTGCTTCGTTCTGTGCTCCAGTCTGTGCTCCTCACACAAGGCAATGGCTGCCTTGTTGTCGACGTACAGCACTGGAGGAAAACTGGGCCGCTCTCCGAGGTCGGTCAGCAGGTAGGTGAGCCAGCGTAGCTCCTGGGCAGCCATGGCTGTGGCGTAGATCTCAGCCTCACAACTGGAGCTGAGAACAGAGGAAGAGCGTGTAGAACGCCAGGAAACAGAGCCAGAGCCAAGGCTGAAGGTGTAACCCTGAGACGACCGCTGCGTAGCCTGGTCGTCAGCCCAAGAAGCGTCTGAGTGTCCAGTGAGGACAACGTCGCGCCGTCCTCCAAGCACAAGCCCCATGCCCGACGTACTGCACAAGTAGCGCAACACCCTCTTAGCGGCATCCATGTGCTCCTTCCGGTGATGGCCAGGAGCGACATAGCGTGCTAGGATGCTAAGAGGGTAGGCTAGGTCAGGTCGAGTGCAGGTCATCAGGTACATGAGGCAGCCCACAAGCTCTGGATACGGGCCACTCGGCTCTACGGACTCATCCGAAGGCAGAGCTGAGAGCGAGTGACCGGTAGGCAGAGGAGTGGGCTGAGGCGAGGAGTACGTGAAGCGGAAGCGCTGAAGGACCTGCTGCACCATGTGTGACTGAGTCAGGGTGATGGTGCGCTGTGCTCTGTCCCGGGTGATCCGCAAGCCAAGATAGCTTGTCAGCTCACCCAGGTCTGTGCACGTGTGTCTCTTCTGCAGCTCCGACTTCACGTGGGCGAGTGCCTCAGTGTCAGCAGTAGCAAAGACCAAGTCGTCTACGTACACGAGAACGTAGAACAGCGGCAGAGTGGTGTCGGTGCGTAGAAACATCGACGGGTCAGCAGTAGAAGGAGCAAACCCAAGAGCAGCAAGAGTAGTCCTCAGTGTGTCGTGCCACTCACGGGGCGCCTGGCGGAGACCGTAGACCGGCCGCCGGAGGCTCCACTGGGTACCAGGAGGGAACGACCCAGTGAAGCGAGGTGGGCGGCGCAGCCAGATCTCCTCGTGCAGGGTGCCCTGTAGGAACGCAGTGCTGAAGTCAAGGCAGTGGAGCTCGTAGTCACGCTGAGCGGCGACGTGCAGCAGAACCCGAAGAGTGGTCATCTTCGGGGTCGGGGAGAAGGTCTGGAAGAAGTCAACTCCCTCTCGCTGACTGAAGCCTCGTGCAACGTAACGCGCCTTGAAGGCAGGCGGAGAACCCGGCGGCCGCTTCACCCTGAAAATCCACATGCCACTGACGATGTTCGCCCCAGGTGGGGGAACCTCGTCGACGTAGGTGCCTGTGGACTTCCAGGAAGCCATCTCTGCGTCCATGGCTGTCTGCCACTGAGAGGAGTACTCACCCTCCATCGCCTCTGCGTAGGAGCGTGGGGTCGGGATGTCTGGTGCATCCGGGTCTCCCTCAGGGGCAATCAGCATGGACACGAGATGAGGTAAAGCAGCAGCAAAGCACTCAAACTCCTCCTGTCTGTCCTCAAGGACGTCCGTGCCAAGAGCACACTCACCCCCGACGGACGGAGGACAGACAGACTCAGACTCAGCGACAAGGCTAGCGGCATAGTCTAGACGACAGGCGGCAGCAAAGTCAACAAGCTCAGCGACTAGAGCAGACGCAGCAGAGGACTCAAAGGTAGGGTCAGTGACAACAGTGGCAAGGAGACGCGCGACAGTAGGACTGGCAGCACGAGTAAGGTCTGACGGCGGGTCGGCAACGTCAGGAAGAGAGGACGCAGGAGGAGACGGCAGAGGGACGCGCTGTGGAGCAGTGGACTGACGCAGGGTCATGTAGTGAGTGCCTAGGACAGGAGGAGGACGCGCACGTGGCGCACGACGACCAGTGCGGGCAGTGCGGACAGGCGACGCTGGACGAGACTCAGAAGACGCAGGACTGGACTCAGGCGACGGAGGACGAGACTCAGGCTCACGACGCTCCGTAAAGCTACCTGTCGGCGCAGTGTAAGGAGAAGGACCAGGCAGTGGAGAGGCAGGCTGTAACTGTGACTGCGACGAGACAGGTGGTGAACTCAGTAGGGGAGGAGGAGTAGGACCAGGAGAGGGCGGGAGACCAAGAACCTGCTGAAGGAGCGGAACGTAGTACGGCCGCGGCCGCTCAGCACCTCCAGTGCCAACCCCCTCAGCAGCTCCAGTCCCAGCAGCTCCAGTACCTCCAGTACGAGCACCTCCAAGACCGGCGGCTCCAGCAGCTCCAGCACCAGCAGCACCACCAGCAGCACCAGCACCTCCAGCAGTTGCAGCAGCAGCAGCACCTCCAGCAGCACCAGCACCAGCAACACCTCCAGCAGCTCCAGTAGTACCAGCAGCACCACTACCAGCAGCACCTCCAGCAGCGCCAGCAGCACCGCCAGCAGCAGCAGCACCTCCTGCAGCTCCAGTAGCACCAGCACCAGTAACACCTCCAGCAGCTCCAGCAGCACCAGCAGCACCAGCAACACCTCCAGCAGCTCCAGCAGCACCAGCAGTACCTCCAGCAGCTCCAGCAGCACCAGCACCAGTAGCACCAGGACCAGCAGCACCCCCAGCAGCTCCAGCAGCAGCACCGGGGTCCGCGACGCGAGGAGCGCCACTCCGGAGGCTGCAGTGCCGAGCGTACCACTCGCGGAGCTGCAGGGGAGAGGGCAGCGTCCGCCTAGGAGGGGAAGCACCAGCACCAGCTGCTCTCCGAGCGCCAGAAGCACCTCTCCTGAGGCTGCAGTACTGTAGGTATCACTCACGCAGCTGCTCGGAGGAGAGAGCTCCTCCAGGTGTAGCACTCCCAGGCTCAGCACCCCCAGACTCAGCACCCCCAGACTCAGCACCCCCAGTCTCAGCACCCCCAGGCTCCACACCCCCAGGCTCCGCACCCCCAGGCTCCGCACCCCTAGCAGGACGAGAGTCGACAGCTACCTCGACAGGGTCTACCTGGGACACACCTGAGGGAGCGGCACCCTGAGGGGGGAGGGGGTCTACCACAGCAGCACCTGGCGCGAGGAAGAGAGGCGGGGGGGGGAGCGGGGCAGTGCGGTAGGGGAAGAGGCGGTAGTAGGGCACCGACTCGTCAAAAGTGACGTCCTGAGAGGGCAGGACACGGTGCGAGGTGGCGTGGTAAAACTGCCAACCAGACGCGTCCGGGACAAAGCCAAGGAAGACACAAGGAACAGCGCGGGAGGAGAGCTTGTCCGCAGACGTATCACGGACAAAAGCTCGAGATCCCCAGACCCGGAAACGCGACGCATCGCCAACCTCCCCCGTCCACAGCAGTGTGGGCGAGGTCTCCGGCAAGGAGACACGGGGCCAGAGGTTGAGCTGATGCGCAGCGTACCGGACCGCAAACGGCCACAGAAAGTGGGGGGGCAGCCGCATGGATCAAGGAGGTACGAGCGACCTCCATGACCAAGCCAATGCGGCGCTCAGCAACCCCATTCTGCTGTGGAGAGGCCGGAAGCGTGAACGACTGCTCAATGCCGTGCTCCGCACAGTAGGCTGCCAAGAGGTCGGAGGAGAACTCACCACCTCTGTCAGAGTGCAGACGCAAGACAGGAAAGTCCGAGTGGAACCGCTCGCTGAGCTGGAGACGAGAAGCACGGATCCAAGGGATCAAAACAGCAGGGACCTCACCCTTGGTGCGCAAGGGGAAGACCGTGGTGTAGCGCGAGTAGTCATCAACAACGATCAGGAAGTACCGCTCCTGACCCTGTCCACGGACGCGGGCGGGGCCCCACACGTCCATGTGGAGCGTCTGCAAGGAAGCAGTCGTCGGGGGAAACGAGGAGGAGTGAGGAGCGGCGCGCTGCCGCCCCTCGACACAAGGAAGACAGGGAGGAGCAGGCGAGGGTGGTAGGGGAGGGAGTACCCGGGGCAGACCAGAGACAAGGTACCGTTTGTGCATGGCACGAAGGCGCTGCACGGACGGGTGACCAAGGCGGTGGTGCCAGAGGACAGTCTCGTGTGCAAGAGAGCGACACGAGCAGGGGGCAGACAACTGACCTTACGCAGACGCAGACGCAGCTACCTGAGGGGACTCAGTGGTCAGTGTGTACAGGTCCGACCCCGGCTGCCTAGTGACGGTAGCGAGGTGACGGCCCGTCCGAGCACACGTGCAGTGTATCACGCGCTCGTAGGCAGGGGTGAACTGGTGGACACCCCCGTCCTGGAGCGCACGACCCGCCACCAAGTTCGTAGAGAACGAGGGGAGGTGGAGACCTGACAGAGTGCCCGACGGAACCGCAGGACAGGGAAGGACAGTGGAGGAGGTCGCAATGACCGGACCCCCAGAGGGGTCAGCAAGGGAGACAGCAACTGGCCGAGCAAGCTGCTCAAGGGCAGTGCGGTCACGAAAGAAACAACGAGAAGCGCCTGAGTCTAGAGTGAAGGTGTGCAGTGCCTCAGTGGACTCAGTACCAGGGGGCGCAGACTCACTAGCACCTGGAGCAGAAGCCTCACCAGCACCTGGGGC